TTACCGGGGGTCCAACGTAGGGACGGATCATTACTTGGTCTTATGTCGAATTAATGGTCTTTTCAAGCGTTGGCGGCATTGGACATCTGTGTCTACCACTGCGTGACAGCGTATAAGAATAGAGAAGTTACAAGATGAAGATGTGAAAGAGAAGTATAAATGTAGACTGAGAGAAAATATTAGATGTTTGAATGAGTTGTGTATGAATGATTTAGACTTGAATACTGTGTGGGATAATATTAAGAGAGGTTTGGTGGATGCAGCCACCGAAGTATGTGGTGTAAGTAAGAGAACAAATGAAAGGAAAAGTAATACGTTGTGGTGGGATGATGTGGTACGGGTGGAAGTTGAATCAAAGAAGAAAGCATGGTTAGATTTACTAGCAATCAAAGCTGGTAATTCTGGTGGTATGAATGATGAGATTGAAAGAAAAAAGGCAGAATTTAGACGTCTAAATAAGAGAGTAAAAGAAGTAGTTGAAAGGAAAAAGAAAGAAAGAACGGATAAGAATGATAGAAGGATATCTGATAATTTCCAGGCTAATATAAAAATGTTCTGGAAACTCGTAAGAACTGCCAGGGGAAATACAAAACAGCCTATAATTAATGCTATAAGAGACGAGAATGGATGTATTCTGAATGATGAAGTTTCGAATTTAAACAGATGGAAGGAATACTTTGAAAGCGTGTGAGTGAAGAGTCGTCTGAATTAAATGAACTAGAAATTCCGAAAGAAGTGGAAAGGGGTATGGAGATAACTGTAGATGAAATAATGAAAGCAATGAAAAGCATGAAAGCAGGTAAGGCAGCTGGATATGATAGAGTATCTCTCGAGATGCTAAGGGCTGGAGAGGGAGTGGTGGCAGGCCTGCTGTACACCTTGTTTAATTTATGTTGGGAATTAAAACGGGTACCGGATAACTGGTGTAAAGCAGTTATAGTACCATATACCAATATATAAAGGAAAAGGGTCACAGCAGGACTGCAAAAACTACCGTGGTATCAGCTTGCTTAGTATTGTGGGTAAACTGTATGCTAAGTAAGGTGTTAATTGAAAGAGTTATGAAAGAAACTGATGGAAAAATTTGGGATGTGCAAGCGGGTTTTAGAAAGGGAATGGGGTGTACAGATCAAGTCTTTTCCATGCGCATGATTGCGGAGAAGTTTTTGGCCAAAAACCAGAAAGTTTTTTGTGGACAGGAATGTGTTATGGCAAGCACTGAACTCATATGGGTTGAGCGCTGGTTTGATACAGGCATTAAGGTCGCTTTATAGAGACTCTAGTGCTTGTGTCAGGATCAATGGGGTCTACTCGGACTGGTTTGGCATCCAAAAAGGTGTCAGACAGGGGTGTGTAGCTTCTCCCTTGGCTGTTCAACCTATTTATGGACAGGTGTTTGCAAACTTTGAAAGATGAAGATTGTGGGTTAAGAATGGGCGATTTAACCGTCAAATGCCTTTTGTATGCCGATGATCAAGTCATATTTGCGTCATCGGCGGCTGAGTTGCAAATGATGGTTACATTGGGTGCGTTTGGCAGAAAAAAGCGCTAGCAAGCGCTTGTAAGCAAAATGGCGATCGTAAGCGGTAAGCGCTGTCAAATCGTAAGAAGCTATTTTCGTCTAAAACACGATGTTAGTTTTAACCGGGGAGCCTAACCTAATTTAAATATATGTTTATGAAGTATTCATATTAAAAACTTACCAATCATGAATTTTTAATAACATGTATATGTCTATTAATGTCATTATATTATTTAAAACTAATATTGCAAAAAACAACTTATCAACTCTACTTCAAAACAAACAAATTAAATAAGCAAAATGGCGGATTGTGTCATCGCTTCTGAAGTAGCAATCGTGTCCTGGCCGAAAACGATTTTAGCGCTAGTAAGCGCTTGCTAGCGCTTTTTTTCTGCCGGACGCACCCTTTAATGAACTGGGCATTAAAAGAAAAGGGGAATGAAAGTGAACGCAAGTAAAACGAAAGTGATGGTTTTTGAAAGAGAAGAAAGCAAAACGGTATGTGAAATAAGAATAGAAGGAGAGTTAATTGAGCAAGTGGATGAGTTTGTGTATTTGGGATGTGTATACAGGGATGGTAGATATGATAAGGATATAGAATGACGAGTAAATGCAGGGAATAGAGTGAATGGGGCACTACACTCTATTATGAAGAACCAGAATGTGTCAAAAAAGGCACGTATGGTAATTCATAATTCTGTGTTAGTCCCTACTTTAATGTATGGTAGTGAAAGCTGGGTGTGGCGGAAGAAGCACGAAAGTAGAATGAATACTGTAGAAATGCGGTCTTTAAGGAGTATGCTAGAGTTGAATCTGAATGACAGGGTGAGAAATTGCGTCTCTCTCTTGATAACAGATAAATCTGGTATGCAAGATGATGTGACCAGGATTAAGAAAGGAATGCTTCGGTGGTTTGGTCATGTAGAAAGAATGAATGAGGAAAGAGTGACAAAGCAAATTTATATGGCAGATGTGAACGGCAGAATCGAGAAGGGACGCCCTAGAAAAAAGTTTATCGACCAAATTGCCGATATTTTGAAAATGGGCCACGTTAGAAGTACACTTAACCGACGAGCGTGTATGCGTAGATATATGGATGTAAAGGGGGCGAAAGAGGTATGTCAGGATCGTGCCAAATGGAATTCCGTAGTCTCTACCTACCCCTTTGGGTGACAGGCGTGAGTGTTTATGTATTTATGTAATTATTATACCTGTCGGGTTCGTTAGTCAGCAGAAGATCCAAGCAATTGGCTATGTGACCGTCTATATCGGGTACCCTAGCCGCTTCCATTACCAGCTGAGAAACAACTAGCGGCAAGGCAAAATTCCATGTTTCTCTGCCAGCATGGTCGGTCTTCTGGTGTGGGAACAGCCAGTCTTGGTGACAGGCGCTAAGGTCCCCCAGAAAGACCAGCTGTGCAGTAGGATATCGATTTAGGACCACATCAGCAGCCGCACTTAGGTTATCTCCGTCTTCGCTGTGCGATCGATAGACACAGACAAAGAGATTTTGTTAATACCTGTATCCACTGTCACCCGTATTATCGAAAAAGTGGGTTATTCATGATCAGGAGACGCTCAAAGTAGATGTCTTTGTGAACGTACACGCTGACTCTGGCACGTAGATGGAATTTCTGCTCTGGGGAGAATCCAGGATATTCAAGGTGGTGTACCTTAGGTAGGTAAAGTACGCCGCATTAAATGAACATTCAATTTGGGTATCCGTCAAAAAAAGTTGGTGCGGTTTCTCAGTCTCAAGGTAGTGATGACTGTGTCAGTGACTGCCCCGAGATTAGAGTGCAATCCTCGAATATTGTGAGGTGTGCTTTTAATGAGAGGACGTGCAACCGCTTTTTTCGCTATATTTTTCTTTTTAAGATACATTTAAGGTTAAGAGTAAATAAGAATAAAGAATGGCAGTTTAACGAGGCCCTGTGAGTTACCTCGCCCATGGGAACTTGATCCGGAGATCCCCCTCCCTGCAGTGATCGCCATTGGATCCTCGCGCTCGGTTGCTAACCTGCACGATGATGGAGCACCCTGGGATGTTCGACTAGTTGGCAAGGCAGTCTTTAATGAGTAGCTAATTCCAGAAAAACCAACGGCCGATACCTACCAGCGGAATTGGTGCTGCTCGTTTAGCACTACCCGAGGTACGTGTCCCTACGGACGCGAGTAGCTACTAATGCACACGAAATATTGTTATAGCCTATTAATGTCTACTGCAGAACATAGGCTCCTGTAGAGTGCCTCGTGGGGAGGATATTAGCCATAGTTGCTACGCTTGGCAAGCGGGTTGGCAACCGCAATTTAATATTTTTATTTGTTATTAAGAAATCGCTGCTACTCATCCTGATTTGTCTTCCCTGGTGATGATACGGTGTAGTTGTTGTTCTTACGTCGCAACCACGTGGTGGGCACCTCTATGAGAAAAACATTTTTTTAAGTACTTGCTGTTTATTAATTTCAACCATTTTTGTCAAACATCAATATTTTGTGAAAATCTGTCACAGCATCCACTTACCCATATCAGGTGGACTGTGTGCCCGTTTGTACCCTATTTCTATTAAAAGAATATATTTTTCATACGATTAGAAGAATATTTAGCTACGGAACCTTAAAATTAAAAAAAAATATTACTAAGTTGAATATGTAGTAGGGTTACGGGAGAATACATTGAAAAGGAAAAATAGTTTAATGTTTCATTTCATTAAACTGTGACTCCGTGAACTTTTTGACCTCCCCTCGTACCGCATCTAGTCTTAATTAATTAGTAATTTATTACGTCTATAAAACACTCATTTTCACTTTAAAACTTGAGATTTTGCAAATACAAGCGAGATTTGTTTTGTTCACGAATAACGCCAGGCCTATACAAATACAAAACTAAAAATGGACATGATTGCACAACACCGTGCTAGTAAGGACTTTAAACGCTTTTGGAAGGCTACAAATAAATTAAACCCAACATTGAGCCTTCCGGTGAGCGTCGCTGGCTTTCATGAGCACAGTGAGATAGCTAAGGCCTTCCAAGCTCACTTCAGGGTGGACTCGCTTCTTGGGCCTGCAGCTGCGATGTGTGATGATGGTCGTTGTGGTGACAAACTTAAAGTTAGATTCTCGGCGAAGGATGTGGACCGCGTAATTAAGGGCATGGTACGAGGTAAATCGCCTGGTCACGACCACCTCAGCATAGAGCATCTGCAGTGCGCAGTAATCCATTTACCAAGGGTCTTATCTTTGTTATATAAACTCTGTCTCAGTCACTCTTACCTGCCTGATGACCTTATGATGGGGCTGCCGCGCTTTTGCAGTGCGGCAGGAATGTTTTTTGAAATGCACACTGATGGTTTCCACGCCATTATTAGAAAGCGTGTTGCATCGATGCTGAAGCGTTTGCGGGGCAGCTCCAATAGCATTCTTAACACCATGGCAGATAGATAGGACTCGCTGCTGCTTGAGCACTGGATACGGCTTCATGTCAAGGTATAAGACGCCGGTGCCCTCTTAGCGGATGATCTCAACATCTTCATTTATATTTGTGTTTATTATATTTATTTTAATTCAATTGATTACTAACACTAAAATTCATGAGTTATATTTCACTTCAATTTTACTAACATACTATATGGGTTTTCTGTTGCCTGAAATAAAGAAATTTTATTTTATTTTTATTTATTTACACAGGCCGTTCGCGTGCACGTGAATGGTCTAGCCGCTAGCCTATCATTCTCGCTCTAAGGCGTACATTACGCGCTCATGCAGGCGTCAATCACTGCATTACACGGTAGGTTATTCGTCAATCACAACCGTGGTTTTTGTAAAACTTGCAAGAGCGTGTATTGTACGCCTTACATTAGCGTACACCATGCTCATTTTAATCTGTTCACGTCAATTTATATTAAATCTATGGCATTGTTAACATTACAACTTTTTATTTTTTACTAGGTTTATATAGTTCAATAGGCTTATAATGTCATTTATATCATCATCATTGTGATTTTGTTAATAATATTTTATTTCCAGTTCAAACAGTGATTCATCATCAGAAGATGACCTGACAAGTTCAGTGCCTAGTTCCCGACAAATTGTACAATCACCGCTGTCCTTTGTGACCAACGTTCTGGCAGCAGAGGAAACGGAAGAGTCTGTCATGTTTCCCGCAGTCAAACGTTCCAATAGAATCCTACTAAAAGAGCCAAGCAAAAGAGATATGATTATGTAAGATTTAAAATAATTACCTAATTGCTTTACATACATTTATCAAAAAAAAAAAATAGAAGATATTTTTTTATAATTTTTCCACTGTTATTTTAAAGGTAATCCTTAAAAATTTGTTTGATATTTCTCTATTTAAATTATTATTTCAGATATAAGCGGTATGTTAACTTCGAACGTAGATCTAACCCGCAATACGATCCGGATATTCACATTGTAATGACCGTAAGCAGCGCTTTCACCATTGACAGCACCGTAGACGTAATTCCACCAACAGTTACGAAGACTTCTAAAGAAATATACCAAAATTATATACAGAAAAATAGCGGCCGTGTTACCGTACCAGCAGCATCCCTCGCTTTATATAAAAAATATGTTAACTTCAATCAACTACAGCACTAGTTTATTGTATGCTGGTTAAATAAATAACAATGAAAATATTCACTTGTCGTTTCATTGTTGTTGTTCAATTCATAAATCTAAAATAAAAAAATAAACTTCCACTTCTCCAAACTCCCGGAGACGTCAAATTGTGCCTATGTACATGAGGCACAATTACAATTTTAGTATTAATTTTGTACAAATAAAGTGATTAAGACAGAGTGAATGATTTATTTTTCACACATTGGCTCAGTGCTCTCGCTTAATAAACAATAATAATAATAGACGTCATGTAAATGATTAATTATTCATTTCAATTAGGGCATTGAGTCAGTTTATTCTGTAAATCGTATTTGAATGCTAAAACGCATCTAGAAAATCTTAAAAAATGCATTTATTTTAGTGCTAAAGAGACTGGAAATAGTAAAGAACTCGCGGTGCGAGAATCTAATAGTGCCAAAAACCCTCTGTCGTAGGTATAGGTCGCGCCACGAATGATGATATTAATTAGCGTCCACTGCGCATGTACAATTAAGCAGAAAAATGCAAATTGTATTATGGCATTTTAATATGTAAAAAGTCAAAGGTCGACATTCTAACTACACATCAAAGTCTCCACGAAAACGGAACGATATTTTTATATATCATCGTTAGGTTTTAATTGCTGCTAAATAATATTCTGTATTTTATGTACACTTAATTAAAGAAATAAAATATTTTGTATTTGTATTTGCTGCTTTGTCTCAAGACGACATACGTGATTTTATTGTTAATAACTTTTTTGATGTTCATGTATAAAGAAGTGTAATACACTGTTATAAAGTTTATTAAATACAGTGTTTAATGATGTTATTGTTTTTATTTTATTTCATTTAAAATATATACTTAAATTCATGAAGAAACATGTGTTTTTTTTGGGACTAGTTGAACCTCTCTTTTTCCTTACATGATTCAGTCATCTTTCAATAGATCTTGCTAATTTTTACAAATCTCATAAAGTCTGTTTGCAAATATTATACAGCAATATTTTTAAAAGTTCAAAAATAGTCGCAAAAATTTCAATACTATATAACAGGTAGTCCCTAACACTTTCGATATAGACAGTAGGCAAAACGACACAAGTATGTGCGCGGGCGACGGGACGCAGGGAGACACTACGTGGAGTTAGCGTGTCGTCCATTGCAATGGTTTCGCTTCCCCGTACCTCGTACCGCACCGCACTGACACCTGTTTTAGGTTTCTGCGCAGTATCATCACTCGTGGCGAAGCCTATACCAAGTACGAAACCTAGCGTGGTTAAACGGCAACATGCATATGTTATGTGTACAAACGGTAACACTCAACAGGACACGCCCTCACCCGCGTCGTTAAACACTCCCCTAATATGCTTAAACCAGACAGACAAATGCTTACTGCGCTATTTTCCGAGAACTCTTAAAGATTTTGTGAATAATAGTAGGGCTTAGACCATTCAGCCAATGGACGAGTAATACGCCCAATGCTACGAACAAAAAATTCTGTCACTTTAGGTGAGGGGGGAGAAAACACTACATAAACAGTACTGCACACCTACTTAATAAAATTTTGTGTCATTATGGCACACACAAATCTAAATCTCCAACACTATAAGATTTTACGCACACGTGTAGGTCAAATACATCAACATAGAAAAAGTTATGAGTTAATGAGATTAAACCCTACAGTTGTCGCGTGGATTACAGTAGTAACCCACTGTAAAATAATCTCAAATTTGGATATTTCTGGAATCAAATGAAAAAAAATATCAGCTGATTTGTGATCTAACTTTGAAATTAATGTGATATTTTCATATATTAATATGGAAAAGATTTAAATATTATAATTTGAATAAAAAAGGACGTGTAAATGGTTTTTGTTTATTAAAAATGATTAACCGTTTGCTAAATGTTACCCTGTTTCATATTTATAATAAAATAAAAATGCATTTTAATTGATATTTTTAAGCTTTGACTTATTTTAAATTGGACTACATACGTAATCCACGCGACCATTTACGTTATTTTGTAAGGCGTGACCGCTGCAGGGTTAAGTAGTTTCGTTACACTTTTATTGTTGATATGTTGCTTATATAAACTAGTCTCGTTTGGAGTTCCGTTGTCCTTGCAGTTCAATTTTAAACCTAATTTGGAACATCTAAGGGTTGTCTTTAAAAAAATGAACATATAACTAATCTCGTGGGGAGTGTGCTTGTCACATTCACAATGTTTATAAAATATTATGTACTCGATTATTTTATCAAAATAGAAAGAAAGCATATATCACAATAAAAATACTAAAAGATTTACAAAAGATAGAGTGACATTCCATATATATGGAATGTCACTCTATCTTTTGTAAATTTGAAGTATTAGACTTCTTTTTGCACGCGTTTTAACAGTGGTAGAGCCACGCGTTAGCTTTGCTGTTGCACGTATGGGCCGGCACAAACCGGGGTGGTACCACGACCTCACAGAATAGTGGGTGAAGTGGAAGCTCTGCTTCCGCGTTTCGTCTGGTGAGTGCAGGTGGCCGGAGGCCCAATTCCAACACCCCTCCCCCCCTGCCATAAACATGGTAGCTGACTTAAATGTTCGACAACCCCAGGAGGGTACCAGCACCCCTGGAGAATTCCTCGCTGAGCATCCACGACCAAGTTACTCCCCTCCTGAGCGTGGGTGCTCAGGGTGCCCCGTGTATTCTGGGGGGGAAGGGGAATTCCACTCAAGACTACAACTGCTCGGGGAAGACGGAGCAACAAGACCAAGGCGACCCCTGCCACGCTATCCGTGAATTTCTGCAAAAGGGACTTCACTCTAACCTAAACGTCGTCCACTACCATCTCGAGCCGGCGAAGCCGGCTCTGCTCTTTCTGACTGAGATGCAGGTGTCCTCTCCGGCTGATGTCTCGTATCTCTCCTGCTTGGGGTACAAACTGGAACACAAAACAAAGTACAAAACGGAGCCTCGGGCTGGAGTTTGCGCTTACGTCAGAGAGGACATCTGTTCTCGACGCCTCGGCAGTCTTGAAGATTCGGACCCGTCCATCATTTGGCTACGCGTAGACAGTGATGACCATCCGCGCGTCTACGGATGCCTCTATAGGTCCCATAGCGATAATGCCGAAACAGACGATTCGTTGCTACAGCAGATTCCCTCCGCAAAGATCGTGATCCTCGGTGATTTTAACGCCCATCACGCCGAATATCTTGGTTCACGTTCAACCGATCATGCGGAGAGATCTGTTCATGATTTTTCCTTGGCATATGGTATGACACAACTGGTTTCTTCGCCTACGCGGATTCCAGATTTGGAGGATCATGCACCTTCCCTGTTGGATCTTCTGCTGCCCTCTTATTCGGACGGATATCAGATTTTAAGTGCTGAAGTTTCACCCCTTTAGGCTCGTTGGACCATTGTCTTGTCCGGAGTATGGTGCCACTCACTCACTCACTGCATTCTGCAGGCTGCCGCCGTGTTTGGCACTATAGGTCAGCTGATTGGGATAGGATGCGGTTTCTTCTTCCTTTGCGTCCTACCTTTGCATCCTACCCTTGGGGGAGGGTTTACTTCTCGCTGGACGATCCCAACGTTGTTTCTGATTCTGTCGCTGATGTGGTACTTCAGGGTATGGAACTTTTTATTCCTTTCTCTGTGGTGGCCATCGGAGGCAAATCTCAGACAAGAGGTTTGGTCGCTTTTGTAAAATAGCATAATTATATAAGCGAGAGTGCTAGCAAGCCTGGGCGGGCGCATGAACGTCCTGGGATGTAAACACCAGCGCTCTAAAAAAGAAGTATAATTCCGCTTCCAGGTCCTTCAAACGAGTCATTGCCAAGGCAAAGTCAGAGCACATAGGCAGAATTGACGAAAAAATAGTTCGCCTTCCTTCTGGAACACGTGCATTCTGGTCTCTCGCCAAGGCTGTCCAGGGGAATTTCTGTCAGCCATCCCTTCCATCTCTGCACAGGGAGGACGAGTCACTGGCCCATACCGCAAAGGAGAAAGCCGATCTGCTAGGCTTTTTCTTTGCGTCCAACTCGACTCTCGATGACGGGGGGAGTACACCGCCGATCATCCCGCGGTGTGAGTGATCCACGCTGGAGGTGCAGTTCACACAGCGCTCGGTTTGCAAAGCACTCCTCTCCCTGGACATCCACAAGTCGAGTGGGCCTGACGGTATCCCCTAATTGTGCTGAAGACGTGTGCTCCAGATTTGGCACTGGTCTTAACGTGTCTTTTTCGGTACTCCTACTCCTAGCCGAAAAAGACAGTAAAGCGTAGTCCCAAAATCATGGAAGACAGCTTTCGTCCACCCGATCCCCAAAAAAAGGCGACCGCTCAGACCCGTACAACTACAGGCCCATCGCCATCACCTCCTTGTTCTCCAAAACAATGGAGTCCATTGTAAACTGCCAGCTCATGAGGTACCTTGAGGATCATCAGCTGATAAGTGATGGCCATTACGGTTTTCGTCATAGACGATCAGCTGGTGATCTTCTGGTCAACCTGTCTCATAGATGGGCGGCGACAGTAGAGACCAACGGTGAGGCATTGGCCGTTAGTTTGGACATTGCAAAGGCCTTCAATAGGGTTTGACACAAAGCGCTTCTCTCAAAGCTCCCTTTCTATGGGCTTTCCAAAAAATTGTGCAATTGGATCACCAACTTTCTTCCAGATCGGAGCATCAAGGTCGTTATAGACGGTGCAAGCTCCGATTACAAGCCTATTAATGCTGGTGTTCCACAAGGCTGCGTGCTATCACCAACGCTGTTTCTTCTGCATATCAATGGTATGTTGCAAACCGCCAACATTCATTGCTATGCAGATGACAGCACTGGTGATGCTCTGTACACCGGCCGTGCCAATATTTCTCGGGAAAACGTCTCCGAGTACCGGGACAAACTTGTGTCTGAAGTCGAGTTTTTGCTGAACAAAGTCTCGAATCGGGGCGACTAAATCTAGTCCAGTTTTACCCTCAGAAGACACAAGTTTGCGCGTTAACC